TTCCTGACCTGGTTTAAATGCTCCTAAGCAAAGTGTAGTCAGCTACACTCATGTGTGTCTCCTTGGTTTCATGTTTAGAAATAAAAGAGGGTAGGCAGCTTCATCCTTTCTGTTCTTGATGGGTTCCCCTTACTGCAAACACCCTATGTGCAGGCAAAACTTGAGAGTAAAGGAACTGAAATTTTTCACATACACAAAAAGAGAGAATTTGACAAAGGCATGATTTGATATGAACATTTGAGCAACTTTTCCTGCAAGGAATCTATAATTTCTACACTACCCTTGTGTGTGTGCATGCAGGTGCATGCGCGCACACACACACATTGTTTTTATGAAAGCCAATTAATAAATGCTAATTCATTCAGGCATATCTCCACTAAATTACTGTTTCATTTAATTGCAGGGGAATTTTCCATCACTAAACTCTCCCTTGCTGATTTTTTTTGCATTATTTATATATTTTTCCAGTTTCACTCATAGTGAGGTTGGTATGTGATATTATCTGCTGTTTGTGCGTATTAAATTTCATTTTCATTTGAAATGTTTCCTCATTCTTGCAGCTCCACATAATCTTGGAGGAACAGAATTAAAAGCAGACAGGATTTTATTTTTCATATAAATGGTTGGAAAAGACACTGGCTGAAATTAACCTGACATGAGTGTATTTTACGTGATTCTCTTCCTCTCTTCCTGAGGTGCACAATTGTGTATGTGTGTTTACTTGTGTATGTAAGAGAAGGGAGAGGGAGGGGGGTTAATTCAGGAATATCTTATGTCAATAAGTCACAAGCCTACCTATGAGAAGTGTGAATATGCAAACAGAGATGGGGCTTCCAGAGCAAATAAAAACAACATCCAAATCTTTATGCATGTTCATAGAACACAATGTACATTGCTTTTGGTTTCTCTTCACAGATTTTCAAATCAAAACTTTGATAACTAGATGCCCAATATCTTAACCAGCTGGCTGCCCAAGAGTTTGCTCCTTTTCAACATAGAAAAGAAGGAGCCTGGAACAGTGTTGAGGGATGGCTCAGGAACTGTGGGAGAGTGTATATGTTCAAAAGAATGCGTTCTGAAATCAGGATTTCAATTTACCTTTTAAATCAAGAATCCTAGTCACCTGCACTGGGCCACCTTCTTCCCAAAGTAAATGGTGTACCTTCATCTCTTCCAGCCATCCCCTGCCCTCCCTCTCCACCACCCCCTTCCTCTTTTCACTTTATCTTTTTCTTTATTTTATTTTTCTGTTTCTTTATTTCCCGCATTTTTCTCTTTCGCAGTACAATGTCCTGGGGGTCAATGATTAAACTGCTTACTCCAAGGTTTAGGTATGAGACAGCATGTGTCACCCACCATAAGTAAAGTTTCACCTTTCCACCCAGCTCCGTCAATAATTACAGAGAGCCAGAACGGCTGTTAGTAAATCATACTCAAAATTAGCTACTAACAAAAAACTGATTTTTATCTGTTCAGAGCATTCCAAGTTTCATTGATTTTACAAAAAACAACAAAAAAAAAAAAAAAACAACAAAACAAACCCCACAAAGCAGAGGGAACCTGATCCAAATGAAGCTGGTGCACAAAGGGCTAATAAATTTATCCACAGAAAACGTATGCCCATAATAGTTGCACTCACTGAAATTGGAGATTTGAGACTGTCAAACGATGCTCTGATTTCATATATTAACAGAAGATCTCCTTTAAGCCAAAATGATTCTTAATAATTAAAAATTACACGGTATTGATTTTTATTTTGTTTTCTTCGCGTCCTTTGTCCTTTTGGGTGTAGATTGATAAAATTAATTAACTTTCTTTTTACTTCAGAAAGGTCTCAAATAAATGCTTCCAATGGACATCAAAAAAGTGTCAATTAGAAATAATTACTTCTTATCAATCAGTGGGGCAATTAAAGTGACAACGGCTTGAAAAGATACTTATCTTAAAACTAATTCGCAAGGCAACTAAATTATCTCCTAATTAACTTGCCGAGGATGGGAAGCTGGACCATCCTGAAACAAAGATGAATTGAGGAACCCCAATACCTCTTTATGTTCCTGGACACCGGTTCACCTCTCCAGGAAACCTTTTTCTTTTCTTTTTTTCTTCCCCCTAAGCCAGGCACGAAACCTGGAAAGAAACAGATTCTTTCCAATTGGGTTTTTTTTTTTCACCCCTTTCCCAGCTGTAGGTGTTTAAAGGCAGCTTAGTTCCTTCCCTTGATCTTCTCATCCTCCGCTAGAATAATGTTTCCGGAGGAACGGAGGGGAGAGTTTCTCCACAAGTTTTTTGAATATTACTTTTAGTGACAATCTACTTGCTTTTTTTTTTTTTACCAAACTCTCTTCTTCGTGGAAACATTGTTTACGTTTTAATATAAAAGAGGCACCGATCATTCTTCACGCAACTTTCAAAAAAAAATTTTATGCTTCTGCTTTTAGAAAATTTTGTCCCCCGGTGCAACAAAAAATCCTGCGGATTTATCTAACACTCAGCCCAACGCGATATCAAAATAATTCACTCACAGCACGAACTATCCCTGAGAATAAAGCTGTAAAGATATTAAGAACTTTCTGCAAGACCCGATTAGCCCGGCTTGAGAGGAGGGTGAAGAGGGAGCGACAGTGAGAAGGAAACTTTTGCTGAGCAGCGAGGATGCCTGGACCAGGGGATCTGGCCTGGCAAAAGCCCAAGAGGACTCTTGCGCTTTGGAGTCTGCTCTGCAGAAAACTTAAACCCTCAGATTCCACAGTCGCAGGCAGAAATTGAGGTGCCAGCAGAATTGTGGACCAACCGCTAAACCGGAAGAATGGCCTTTTCAAAAAAAAAAAAAAAAAAAAAAGACAAGAAGGGTCAGCTAGGAATTCCTCTCTAAATAAGGGACACCACGTCAAACAAATGATTAGAAAAAACGAGCATCTGCCTGCTCAGCTCTGCCTGCACAGGGATCAGGAGAGAAATGCGGAACAGATTTTAACTATTGGGGTTCCTTTGGGCATTTTTCATCTTTTAAAAAGTCGTGGTATGGATGGAAAAAGTCCCTCATCCTCTCCTTCGCGGTTTTATTTCTTCCTTTGTTTGGAGGAGGGTGAAAAAGAAGCTCCTTTGGCTTTCTCGGACAGAAAACTACCTGGTGGGGCGGGAGACAGAAGGGATACACTCACACCCAAGGGCGATCTATATCTGAGCTGATAGGAAAAGCGCCTATTCTTTCGGCAACTGGAGCAGTTTGGCTGAGAATAAAGTAAAGGTAAATCGTGCCCTTTGCCTTTTCTTTTCTTTTTTTTTTTTATTTTTTATCTTCATTTGTTCTAAGGAGTGCGTTTAGAACGAAAACAAGCCAAACCGGAAAAATTCTGACACTCTTATTTCTTAAGCGGAGATTGAGAAGAGTCTCGCTCATCCTCGTGAATTCGAGGTCTGTGAGTGCCCACTCTTGTCACCAACGAAAAGGTCAGGAGGAGGTCGAAGCAGAGTAAACCCGGAATCACCAAAAGCCTAGCCAGAGAGGTTAGCAGCAGCCGGACCCCGCTGGGTCTGGAAAACCACCCAGCTCTGGAGGCGGAGGCGATGTTCAGTGTCTTACGGTAGTCTGACTAAAGACTAAGGGGCTAAAACCTTGCCCTGGCCTTAGAAAGTGGCACAGAGGCGCGCTGGGTCCCCAGGAGCAGCCGGTTCAGGGGTGTTAGGCAGCTTCACTGGCGGCGCCAGGGAAGCGCGGGGAGGTATCCACGCCGCAGTCGCTGAAGCTGCCCCAAGTTGGTCAGGGCAGCTAAGATCTTTAGGGTCCCACTTTGGGAGCGGGCCGGGAGTGAGCACCCTGCTATCTCCTCCACTGCTTTACAACCAAAGGGGTTAGGAAGCCTTTCCGCGCCCTAGGGGTTTGGTGGTGTCCCTTCCAGTGAGGTCCGGGCCCTCCCAGCCGAGACTGCGCCGCACGATCTGACCCTGGCAGCTAAATAAAGATCTCAGCCGCGCGGCGCGCGGGATCCGACCCTCCTTATTATAACAAATGTCCCGTTTGCTGAGCGCGACTTCATATTCGCGGAGAATTCATCTGAAATATTGATTTCCTCTCACTTGGCCGGCCCAAATCGATCGCGATGCGCCCTGGACCCATAAATCGCTTTTTCCTCGCGCCCGACCTGGCTCCATCCATCACCGCGGGCCGAGTCGCGCCTCCGCCCGCTGTCCGCACTGGCCGTGCGACTGGGTGGCGGGCGTCCACCACGCTTGCCAGCCTGGACCCTGGGGGCTCCTTCCCCAAGTACACCCTGACCCCAGCCGCGAGCGGGTGGATCAGGCAGGCACAGCTGCAGGGAGCTTGGGAGCTTTTGAAGGCCCTGGGCTGGGACGCAGGTGGGGGAGGAAAATTAGGATCTTTTGGCGGCCGGCATTAGTCTGCGCCAGTGGAAGCCTTGAGCTTGGGTCCTTGCCTGACTCAAGGCAGGTAGGAAAGCATCCAGAAGCACCATAGTGCGCCACCGTTCCCAGACACCCCAAAGCCCAGACTCCTTTTTTCCGTGGGACGAAACATGCAGAGGTGGGGGGAGGGCTCACGGAGCCCTAAGGAGTCTTGAGAAGAACTGCGTGCACCCAGCGATCAAAGAATAGGGGTCGCGGCAAGTCTAGAATCTGCTCGGCCTAAGGCCTGAGAGCGTACAGGATGTCCGTCCTGTCCAATGGCTGTGCAAGATGGTTGGGGGGGGGGGCGCAAAGGACAACCCTTGTGACCCCACAGTTAACCCCTCATTGCTTCCTGTGGTTCTCAGAAACCAAGGCCGGCAAAGGACAGCTTGGGCAAAGGGAGACCCAAGAACTGGAGAGCAGCAAGGTGGCCCCCAGTGGAGAGCCAGGCCCGAGGCGCCCCCAGCTGTGTCCCCACACAGGTGGGTCCCGCCAGCCTGGAGCGTGAGCTCTCTCGCCCTACCCGGCCAAGCGCACACACCAACGCGCGGCTGCGCGAAGGCTGGGGGTCCTGGCCCCTTTGCGGTCCTTACCGGATCTGATCGAGTTGTGAGGCATCGCCAGGGAGTCGCTTGCAGCAGCCTGCGGAACACTCGCGGCTTTCTTACGCAGGTCCCGGCGGCGCCAGCAGCCACGCTGCTACCCTGCATAAACCCAGGGCAAAGGACATGAGACTTGAGGCCCCAACTCCACACCCCCTCCCCAACCTAGGTCTTTTGACTCCCATTGAGTGGCAAGAGTAGGGAATATTTTTTTGGCTGAAGTGAGGCCAACCTCACTCTGGCCTAGCGAAGGTGCTTATTGGGAGGATTCATAGTTAGGAATGCATGGAGGAAGCCCCAAACTCCCGCCAGGTACCCTATCCCTCTATTGCCCCTGCCTCATCCCACTTAACTTGAGAAGGAAAAGGCTTCTCTTCTTCTTGGGACCCTCTCCTTTCTCACAGGCCAGCTGTTTCCCAGCCTGCTCCCTCCTAGCCCCTAGGCAACATACCTGGCCGGCTGGCCTCAGGCCCTCTCTGCCTGGGTCTGCCCCTGAGATCACCCAGGGCCCAGGCGTCTCTTCTTCCTTCTGAAGTTTGCTCCCATCCACCTGGCATCGCCAACCAGTTTTATCCCGCCGAGGCCCTGGGAGATGTGTCTGGTGAGGCTCTCAGGCCGCGGATTGGCTGGCTGGGTGCAGGGGGGTGAGGGAAGGGGAGGATTTTGCAAGGGGGACATGGCTGAGTGGACTCAGGAGTTAGAAACATTCGCTGGAGCTTCTGTTTCCAGCGGAGGGAAGAGAGGGCGGCTGAGTCCTAACTCAGCAGGCCGGGAAACACTGGGGGAGTGGAAGGTGAAACCCTCAGGGCCTGAGGATGTGACTCTTTGGAGACTCTTGGGGTCACTGACCACCAGAGTGAGCTCAAGGTCGCTCTGTGACACCCTGCAACCCTCCTCTGCCGCTGCTCATGGGGAAAGGGCCTTTTCTTTTCTGTATGAGAACTTCGGTGTGAGGGCACCGGTCTTTGAGTAGAAGCCCACTCATGCAAGAAGGCCTTACTTGCTGATGTGACCCTCTCTAGAGTAGATGCCTGATCAACATCAAGCCACTTTCTCTGGGTCGTAGAGACTTATTCACTACTAGGCTAAAGGAAATGGTTACTACTGAGGCCACTTCTCTCTCTTCTCCACCGTGCAAGGCCATCAGCTCTCTCCTTCATTCTTTGGAATTGGGATCTTGAGAGAAGGAAACTGTTTGGCTTAGATTTCACCTGGTCCTGAGCTGACCTGGGGGCAATTGACACAGAAGCCAGTGGCTTCTGAGATGTAAAAGACAACCTTGGGGAAGGAGTAAGAGGCTCTTAGTGGTAGCAATGGCTGCCACTTCCCTCTTCATAGTTAATTCTCTTTGATACTGTGTCACCGTCCAAGGGGACATTGTGAGCACGTGGGAGCAAAGGTTCTGGAGAACCTACAGGCCAGTGAGTCATGCCCCCCTCTACCCACCAGTAATCTCAGACTAGATCTCTGAATTTAGGATTACAGCTGAGAGGACAGCCCTGTGGGCCAGAAGGGCCTGTTCTGCCTGGAGGGGTAGAAGAAAGGGCTGGAGTGAGGAGGAAGCCAGGACAGGGGGAGAGGACCCAGGGGTGTTTGGGGAGATGTATGTGTGCACCTGGGTATGAGAACTCACAACTTTCTAAATAAAAAAAAAAAAAAAGGAGTTATTTCACAACCCATCTGGCCTTTCTCGCATCTCAATTTAGGAGAAATACAGTCATTGTGTGCAAAGAAAAGAGAATGTGTGTCTGTAAATGAATCGTTAAAGGGCTCTAAATGGAAGCATCTAGTGCATTATTGTTTTAAATGCTTCTGTATTGTTACTTAAGACTGCTCTATAGTCGTGGAAGGTCCAGAGAATCTGACCCTACCACAACCTCCTCCTGGGGAGAGGAGATTCAACTGTGTCAGGATGGGCGTGGTTCTTGGTACAGGACCCAAGGACCCCAAGGGCTATTCCTACAGTTCTGCTCCTGCCCTCCCTTCCATTGGGGGAAGCTGTGGGATGAGTAGACCACAGCAGAGGTCAGAGCCTGCTCCCTCTCCACGGGAGGAGGCAGTACTCCAAGCTGGCTGAGAAGCCTTGCCCACACAGTTTTGTAAACCTCAGAAGTCCCACCGAAGCCCAAGGTCTAATAACCATTAAAGCTGATGAATCTCTTCTCCACACTCTTTTTACCGACCAACAAAACTGGTCTCCTTTTCTCCCGTAGTTAGGCCCACAGCAAGTTATTGCAATATTCTACTGTGAGAATCTAATGTGCACCTGCACTTAGCTACTTACCAAGGGAAAACAGGCCGCAATGCCTCAAGGGCGTGCCTGCTTCAGGCTGCAGGTGCCATAGATCGCCGGGGGGACACTAAGCAGGGTTGATCTTCTAGAACCAACCAGGAGTCAGAACACCATGCCTCGTTTTCTAAATACTGATTTCCTGCAACCTATACAGAAGAAGACGTGTCATTTAGCAGTACCCAGCGACCTGAACGAAGCTGCTCTGGTCTCGGTCTTTTCTTTGGAAAATGAAAAGGTTGAAAGATTTGTATTTACTAAAACTTTTTCTTCAAGCTTTTAAGTCTCAACCCTCTCGTTTTGACTTTAGTAAAAAAAAAAGTGTCAAAATATATTTATAACTCGACTTTTAGTTCAGTAGGAAATTAGAGAGTTCCCTTTAAAATGCCCCCACCACCACCACCACCTATTCTTCAGCTTGGCGCCCATAAGCTCTTTCCCCAGGGCTGACAACTAGCAACCTGTAGCTTAAACCCGGTTATAAGTTTTTGGTTTTGTTTTTGGTGTGTTGCTCTTTTGGGACAAGGTTTCTCTGTGTAGCCCTGGCTGTCCTGGAACTCTCTCTGTAAAGCAGGCTGGCCTCGAACTTAGAGATCCACCTGCCTCTGTCTTTCTGAGAGCTGGCATTAAGGGTGCTGCCACCACCTGGCAACCTCCCCTCATCCCCCTCACCCCGCTTCAGCTACAAGTTTTATACTCTGCGTTTTCCTAAGAAAATTTAATTTGTTGCCAATATTAAAATGCAACCATGAATAACGATGGTTGGCTTCTAGAGAAATCTGGCCATACATTTCAAGGTTTGGGAAAGAAATAGTCCCTCAGGCTCAACTTTCCATTCACTCCTGGGGAAAAGTGGCAATTCTATGCAGCACATGGCAACTTTTTGAGTTGATATAATCAATATTCTGGGGCTAGAATGCAACATTGGTCTGGTGAGCTTTCAGAAGATGGTCTTTGGGCACCATGGTGCTGGTAGGAGCAGAATAAACTTCTGGATGCTTCTGGTTCTGAGGTTTTCCGCACTAAACTGGGGCTGCCCTGGAGCCTGCTGGCTGAGGTGACCCACCCCTCGTACTTTCTCCAGCAAGCTGTTAGTGGTACCCCAAGTACCTTCAACATGCAGGCACAGAAGCATCCCTGTGCAATCTTCCTGGAGGACAGGTAAGGCAGAAGGCTCCCACCCCTCTCTAACAGCCTGTCTCCCCCTACTTAATGTTCATTCCTGAACCAAAATGCATCCTTTAGGGATGAGAGAGATCTGGACTCTGCGTTAGAAGGTGAGTGTGCCAGACCTGGTTGCATGGAATAGGATCATTCCTTCTCTCTGAGCCTTGATTTCTTTTTCCGTGGGATATGAGATGCAGTGAGGTAGAGAGAAAGGGTAGGCCTACCTCGGGGATGAATAGACTTACTACATACAAATGCCAAAGCCCTTTGAAAACCAGCTAGGTACAAAAGTTAATTATTATTAGACAACAAAGGCAGAGGCAATACGCCCAAGAAAGGCTGAGTTAAAACTCCTCTAGCATTTCTCAGTAGATGTCGGTTCCTTTAATCCTTTCCCCCAAAGCGGGATGAGTTTTTCAAAAGCCTCCTGAGCGAGAACCTCAAGATAAAGGGGCCAATGAGCATGCGCTTGCGCATGCAGCGCAATGGCGAGGTGGGGGCTCCTGTGAGAAGAACGGTGGACGGTGGACGTCCTTTGACCTAAAAGGAAGGCAGCAGAGGTCTTGGCAGACAGGTCTGCAAACTTCGTAGGTGTAGTTCACAAAGAGTAGACGTGCCCTGAGCACCTGGACTCGCTCCCACTGCTCGCTCCCCCAGGAACAAACCCAATCCTGCCGCAGCCTCACGGGATTTCTGCTCTGCCCTCACACTTTGAGGAGATGGCCAGCAGCCTGCCCCGCGGCCTCCTGGTGGCTGTGCTGGAGAATCAATCATTAATTATTCTGGTCCACTTCCCTGAGGCTTTCAAAACAGAAATAGAAATGCAGGTCCTGGCAGGTGAGAGGAAAAGGAGCCACGGGCTGGAAAGGCAGTTTGGAAAAAGCCACCAGTGGCATTTGTCCAGTTGGGGAAGGTTGGAGAATTGACCTGGCACGCATCCCTTGGGTTTTTGCCCACTCTGCAGCCCCTTGGCAACATCTACTTTGGCTGCCGTAGGGGGAGCCTGGTGCTCCTATGGCTGAATAAGAAAAATACTCACTGGGGTAGCAAGAAAAGGATGCCTGAAGGAGTAGTGCAGGGGCCAGAGGGGAAAATGCGTGTTGCCCTCCACTAACAATCGGTTTTAAAGTCACTAGTAACCAGCTGGATCCTTTTTGGAATCTGCTTTGCAAGTGAGAAACCCCAGCCTACAGAAGCTGTCCTGACCACCGGCACCCTGCTGGCAGGCTCAAATGAGCAGGAATGACCCGGGCTTGTGTTTGGTGCTGGCAATTCTGTTCATTCCAGCCTACTTCCTCCCTCTTCCCAGCACCTACCATTCTCCCTAGGAAGAAGGTTTCTGGAAGCCAGGGTGTGGCTAGCGTGAGGTCAGACCCCATGGTGGGAACATACCCTTGCCGTGAGACTGGAGAGCAAGCAGCTCAGCAAATAGGAATGCCCTCCCCTAGCCAGGACCCTGGGATCCAGCCTAGAACAGCAAAGAGTCAGGTCGCAGGAATCCTTCCACCCACTCCAGGGCACCAAGTGGGCTACCTTCCTGACAGCTCTGTTCTTGGGAACAAGCCAAGGAAAAAACCCACGGTGCGGGGCTGGCTCTGTTCTCCATGGGTCTGGAATGCCAGAGGTTCCTGCTCTTAGAAGAAACAACAGAGTAGAGCCCAAGGAAGTGCCCAGGGTACAGACAAAGGGACCATCAACCTTAATGGTTGGGGATTGAGTCTAAGTGTGGGGAATGGCTTGAATTATAAAGAAGATTCAGGAGATCTAACCTGACTTTCGTCCCCAATGTCTCAAACTGCCATCTGAACAACTTCTGGCTCATTCCAAGCAGAAAAAGTTAAGGGGTCGTATCTATTCTCCTGCTGACCCATGTTCATTTCAACAGCCCCTAACCTCGCTGTGTCTGCAGGAGCAGAGTTAGGGCTTGAGGCTTTTCTCTCCTCTTTTCTGATGGCTTTCCTCGCTGCCTATGGCTCTCATACTAGAGTGGTGGATCGAGAACGCTGTGTAAGGAACCCTTGGGATAAAAACAGCTGCCATCGCCGATACTTGCTAAGTATTAGTAAATGCTAGTAAGGTTGGATACTCTATAGACAGCGCCATTTAT